ATATATAATTTATATTATAATTATTTAAATTTTAATTTAGCATTTCTTCCACCCCCACTCCCGCCACTAAATCTACTAGCTAAACTATGCCTTCTACTTATTGAACGATCAAATAAATCATCATCATTATTATTTCCACCTATCACACTGCTGTCCAATACATAATCTTCATCCTCCGTGAATTCTGCAGCTGAGTAATGACCAATTAACGGTAGCATACGATCTTCCCTATCTGATAATATTGCATCAAGCATATCATCTTCATCTTCTACAATGTTATTGAATTTTCTATTTCTTATTGTTGATACTATTATTGTATTGTTTTTGTCATTATTACTACTACTATTACTATTATTGCTATTACTATTACTATGATTATCATCTTCTCCTAGTTCATTATTTGGGTCTTGTAAACTAGAATTTTCTTCACTTCCAATTCGGCTTTGAGCCCAATTTTCACTGCCAGTACAAAGTGATGATTTATCGTCACGCTCCTCTTCCTCTTCCTCCTCTGAAAATAGTTCAGATTGTTCACCCTCAACCTCAACCTCAACATACTCAACATCCTCAATCTTGTCTTTTTTATCTTTCTTGATATTTGGACTTTTTTTAGAGCTTACTGCTTCGATACTATCACTATTTGTTAAACTAGTTTTACGATCTTTTGATGATGAATAAGAAATGATAGGTATGGTTGATGATCCACGTGGCTTGGGTAGTTTGGATTGATTCGTCCTATTATTCATACTGTTATTATTAACGTTATTGTTATTATTTGATGATTCTGAATTTTCGACAACATCTTGTTTTTCTTTTTCTTCTTTAACAAGGTTAATACTATTCTGTTTTAATAAAAGCTTTTGTTTTTCTTCTCTTTTTCCTTCGCTATATCTAACTTTCCTTAGTTCTTGATTTAAATCATCGATAATTTTTTGTTTCTGAGCAATATTAGCACGAAGTAGAGTAGCCTGTTTCTCTTGTTTCTCTTCTAATTGTTTAATAGTAATTTGTTTGTCGGATTCTAATTCCAATTTATCCTTTTTTGCTATTGACAATTCATTTTCCAACTCAATAATACGGTTATTTAATTTAGTTATTTTTGAGCACGTGACAACAGATTCAGCATCCGAACTTTCTATTGGATCATTTGTATTTTTTGATTCTTTTGAAATTTCATCTGGTTCCTCTATTGAATTTGATGAATTGTTGTTGATAATCTGCATAAAATCCTGTATATTGTTACTATTATTGTTATTGTTACTATTATTATTATTTAATAACTGATCACGTAACATTTGATTTTCTTTCCTTAACCTTGAAATTTCAATTTCACCTTTCTCCAATTGAGATATTGTTTCTTTAAAAGTCTCTTGCATTTCATTTCCTTGATTCTCCATGACTATTACTTTAGTAGCCCAGATTTGCATTTCCTCGCCAAATTTTTCGCGAGACTCATTGAACAATTTATTTAATTGAGCCCTACCTTTTGATTCTTTAACCAAAGCTTTCTTAAGTGTTTGTATATCACTTTCTAATGCATTAATATCTTCACTATGAGTTTTTTCTAGATCTTGTAGTCTTTGTAGTGTTTGGTCATAGGCTGATTGTAGTTCACGTCTTTTTTCACGCTCTTTATTCAATAAATAAAGAAGTGATTTTGTTGTATTTGTTTCATCTATATTGTTGTTATTGTTGTTGTTTTTGTTGTTGGTTGTATTTAATGTTGCTGAAGATGAAGATGATGAAGCATTTGTGTTAGTTGGAGGATGGTGGTGATGAATGTGCGAAGATTGAATTGGTAATGAGTGTCTCTGTTAAATAAAATATGTGTAAATTAAATATGCATGTGTGTATATATATATATGATATATATGCAAGTGCATATATATGTATAATTATAAAATATAATGAAAAAGAAATTATTTCCGAATAAAGAAATTAAAAGACCAAATATGGAATTTGAAGTTTTTTATCTGCATGTATGCATGTGTGTGGAGGAATGTGGGTAAATGGATGTATGAATGTGTGGATGATTAAATAAAAAGCATTATTTAAAAAATGCAATTTTTTTGTTTGTTATTTGTTATTTGTTTCAAAAAATTTTTAGGTCAATTGAATAAACAAAAAATTAATTTAAATGGCAAAAAAAATAATAATATGATGATATCATCATATTGTCTTTTCTTTTTAGATAAATGAAAAAATTTATCATAATAACAATAACAAGAACTTACATTATAGTTTGTTTTGTATAATTCATCGTCGGTTTCCCATTTTCTCCCACTACGTATTCTACTACTGTTATGTATTGATTTTGATAATAATAGATTATTATTATTATTGCTACTACTATTATTAATATTACTACTATTACTATAATTATTATTGCGTATATCTTCTCTTATTTCAAATCTTTTGTGTGAAGGATAATTAAAACCATGAGTTGTTGAATTTGACGAAGAGGAAGAAACGCTCCACCTGTGATTATTATTATTATATTTTAGATCAAATTTTCTTATATCATAGGAATCACTTTCTTCGCCTTCGTCAAATGAAGAAGAAGCGTAATCAAGATTTGTAGTGGTTGAAATATTCTTTGTGTACCGTGTCGATGATATCGATGATGTTGATGTTGGTGATGTTGTTGCAGTGGAAATGGTAGTATTAGTGTTTGGCGATGTTGATGATGTATTATCATTATTATTAGTTGAGTAATCTGTCGTCATATTGTTATCGTTGCTGCTATTAGTATTACTGAAGTTATTGAATATTGAATATTTTCTAACATTCGGTTAATATTAAAAAAATTGAATAATGCGTAAAAATTATATTAATATGATTTGTTGACTAATTCTAGTAATTTCCTAATAGTAGATACTTTAATTAAAAAAATTTTTTTTTTTGTAAAATAAATTCTAATTCGGGTGTCCAGCTCCCTTTATATTAATAATTAATTATTATTATTATATTTATTAAAAATATTTAAAATTTTTTTTCTAAATCTAAAAAAAAATTTAAAATTCTGGGAAAAAAAAGACACTTTTTTCTTCCGGATATTACTTATATATATATATATATTATGTATGTGATATAATATAATAATATATTAATATATCTGATTGTCAAAGTCTATAAACGAAAAAGGGGTTTTTTGGTTTTTTTTCTAAAGAAAAAAATTAAAAGTTAAAATAGAAAAAATTAATGTTTTGTTACATACATTTTGGAGAAAAAAATAATGTAACGCAAAAGTGACGATACAATTACGTATTATTAATTGGATAAGCAAGCATTAGGTGATGCGGAGATCTCTAATCTGGAAAAAAAATATTTTGATCACCAAATATATTTTGTGGAAATGAACATCTTTGAAAATGGCAAAAACAAAAATTCTCAACCCCAAAGATTTTGTAATTATTACTTTATATATTTTTGTATGAATTATTTTTTTTTATAATACAGCGTATATTATTAATATATATTATATATAAATATAATAATATATGTAGTATATACTATATAAATATATATACGCTATCTAATTGTCAAACATTTAATATCATCTACCTTGTGTGTGGAGAAATGTTTCTCAAATTTAAAGAAATTGACATTATTCAATTAAAGAAGAAAAAGAACCATTGTATATATTAACTACATATAAATAAATAAATAAATAATAAATAGAAGTAATTATGCATATTTCGTAGCCGAGGCGATACTCTGAACAAATTATCTAATATTGCATATCGATTGATGATACTTTATAATCGTCGCGTATCTTTTCTTTTTGCCTTTAATATATTTATGTAAATATGTAGAACGCGCGGATATTATGAATGAAATCAAATCAAAAAAATTCAAACTTCTCGATTAGTATTCTTTTTTATTAAAATTATACATAATAATATACATACATGCATTAATTCTTCCATATAAAGAAACATTTAGCAAATATGTGTGTTTCTCTCGCTTTTTTCTTGACCTATTATTTATTTAAAATAAACAAAAAACAAAGAAAAATAAAAATGACACGTGCATATTGCGGTAGGATAATTTTATTGGATGAACTCTGTAATTCATTGGATAATTGAATGTGGCACTATATCACGTGATACGCAAGGAAGTGTTTCAGATATATATTTGTAAAATTTATTATATAATGATCAAATAGAAAAACTTTAATTTTCATTGTTTTTTTTAAAAAAATAAAAAAGATTAATTGTTAAAAATAAAAATCCCTTAAACCAATTAAACCTAAAAATTAAAAAGGCTTGTACATTTAATAATTATTTATGTAAATGAATAAAAATAAAATAATAAATTTTCAAAAGTTAATTAAAATTTTTTACATTTTTATCGTTATTGATAACCTTTTTCTTTCTTTAATTTTCTTTCTTTACTTGTAAAAAAAATTTTTCATGTCAAAGTTAATTTATAAAGAAAAATAACAATTAACTCTAAAAAAGAACATTTAAATTAACAATTAACATAATAACTATATTCAGCCATCTGTATATATTTATACTATTTATATAATATATAATATATGTTATTATTGTCATCCATCGTCATTCATTAACCTTTTTTCATTAATATATAAATAATCCCCTTTCCAAACTATATATAGAAGTAAATTTACTTTTTGAAATAGTTTTTTGGGTTTGTAGATTTTATTTTTTAATTTATTTTTTAAATTTTTTTTTCATTGACGAGGTTTTTCCTCATTTCTCCTCTTCGTAATTTCTTTTTGTTCTTGGCTGTGGTTTTTAATTCACCAAGAAAACAAATTTTTTCTTTTCTTTCTCTTTAATCCAAGAGAAGAAAAAAAAACATTTTTAATGTATTATTTTTATATAACGTTTTTTAACGAAATATTTTTTATACACATTATATAGTGTAATATATCAATCAATCAATCAATCAATCAATCAATAAATCAATCAATAAATCAATCAATCAATCAATCAATCAATCAATCAACAAATAATTTAAATATAATAATAATGTCAACTTTAACATCAAATGAAATTGGTGACGATTTGTTTCGTAGTGCTAAAAGCAAACTTCTTTCTTTATCAAACAAAAATCAAGAAGTAAGTACAAATTTTTATATATTTCGTTTCGCTCTTGAAAATTATAAATTAAATTACTTGATCAATCGACTAATTAATTTATCATCTCTTTAATAATATATTCATTCCATTCACAACAATAAATTACGTAAAAAAGAGGCTTGATCAATTAAACATATTACAAAAATCAAAACCTCAAGCATTAAATGCGATAAGTAATGGTTTAGAAACAATTCCGGATCAGAACTTATCTGGTAATGAAATAAATAATATACTAAATAATTTAAACTCGAGACGAAGAAATCTTAATCCTGATCACAGCCACATTCACCATAATTCCAACAACAGTAATCATTTTCAAAAACGACATCATCACACATCATCTTCATCATCAACAACATCAACTTCTTCCGTCATTTCAACAGCATCGATATTAAACAAAGGCTGTAATGATATAATGGATTTTGATAGCAACAATGATAACAATGATGATGATGATATTAATGATAATGAACATAATATTTTGGATTTAAATTTAAATAATTTAAATTTAAAAAATGACAATTATAAAAACACTACAAAAAGTAATAGCAATAATAGTAATAATAATAGTAATAATAGTAATAATACTAATAATAATAATAATAGTAATAATAACAACAGTCATAGCAACAACAATAATAGTAACAATAATCATGAGCTTTCAAGCTCGGAAAACATTTACAACGATGAAAATATTAATCCTGATATAACTACCAATGATAATGACGATTTAGCAATTTCTAGTAATTCATCATCAAACAAAAGAAAACATTATAAATCCCATCCATCGTTAATAATAAATACAAAAACTTTCCCTTCAACTTCCACTGGCAACAACAGTAGTTCTATTAATATCATTCCTCCTCCTACTACTACTATTTCAACTGCTACCTCAGCAACAAATGCATCCATCATTGCCTCCTCCAATAACAACACCAACGCATCTATGTTGTTGCCGTCATCTTTAAAAGTTCCTAATCGTCTAATAACCCCTGAATCCTCTGATTCTGAATTTGATATATCAGAATTAGATAACCTCAACACTCATTTAACCCTCCCTCCTTCATTTGGTAAAAGAAACAATAGTGTCAGCAACGACAACATTAATCACCGTGTTGCCCGTCATAGTTCTGCTGAACTATATAATGGTAATAATCATCTTTATAATAATAATAAACGTAATAATATTTATCATGATTATAATAATAATTATCGTTCAGCAATGGAAGGTGTCATAATCGAAGAAGAAAGAGGTGGATTACTTGACATAATTGAAAATAATAACGACCTACAAAATCAACATCATCATCAAAATAATAATTATCATAATTCAATTATGAAAAGATAAACAACAACTGTAGCTACAGCTGCCAGCACTATACCATCATCATCGTCATCATCGTCATCATCAGCTTCATTAATAAATCTTAAAAAACATATATTATTACAACAGCAACAAAACCCTCAAAGACCCACCAACCAAAATGATGATTTGTACTCAATAAATGAAGGGATTGATGATAACAGCAGCATAATGTCAAATGAATCTTTATTAGAAGAATTAAGATCAAGAGTTCAAAGACTTGAAGAAGATGCAATTAATGGTAGTAATGGAAATAATAATGAAAAAAGAAGACAAAAAAGAAATAATAATAATCAACAAAATAATGATCCATTAATGTCCCCAACTGGTTTATCACCGGATAGTTCACAAGCTGGTTCAAGTAATTTTACAACAGCATCAACGAATATTTCAAGAAATTCTTCAATGTCAACAAATAATATAGTTAAACATCAAAAACATTTACAGAATGCTTTTGAAGTTTTTGAAAAAAGTTTTAGTGCTTCTGCTGCTGATCAAAAACAACATGATATTACACCCCCACCTTCTCATACTATGGCTATGGTAGTTTCATCTGCTTTACTAATAAATCAAAAACTACGTTCAACAATGAACCAATTGGATGTTGATTATCAACAACAGCAACAGCAACCATCACAACAACAACCATTACGATCTACTGAAAAATCTTTAAAATCTTTAATAAAAACTAGTGATGAA